GATCAACATTGCGAAAACAAAGACTTTTGGAGACAGCGTACACAGTAACTTTTTAATATCGTCAAATGACAGTGCAAAATGTAAAGCATACTTGCCATCTATTATTTCAAAAGAGAAATTATCTACCTGTATAGTTGGCCTTTTTTAATACTCGTATATCAGTGGCTTCTCAGTATTGATCGGCTGACAAACGAAGGTAGAAGGTTGCCTTCTGTGGGAAACCATTTAGAAGTGGGGATCATTGGGTTTCTCATAGCTACATTGACCACTGTAATTAATATTAAATCCTGATATGCAAGTAAAAAAGGGCCTGATTAGTAAAGTAAACCTATTTAGGAAATCCAATTTGCATTAGATGATACTCATCGAAACATGTTGTGGATTCTGAGATCCATTATGTGCCTCGTTTTTTCCTACCGTTTTTTAACTGATAGTTCATACGTCACTTTTTACTTCCTTGTAGGAAGTAAAAAGGAAGTATTGTAATCACGAAAAGTTTCAGGCAGCATATTTCCACGAAAATATCCATTTTGATCGCTATCGAATGAAATTTAACCATGTATTTGCGTAACATCTGATATACGTAAGGACAGAAAAAAAAGATTCTTTTCCTTCAAAAAAATTATAAAGCTGCTTTAAAATGAATTCTGAAGAGAATTTTTCGTGGCGTCTGTACGTACGTATGTATCTCGCATAACTCAAAAACGAGTAGCCTCAGAACGTTGAACTTTTGTATATAGGACTGCTGAACGCTGCTCAAGTGAACTGCCGCCCTTAACTATAGTCATGTTGATGTGCACCTCGTATTTTGGTTGCAATCGGCAGCACCAAACCTATATAAATATATTTATATATATATCCACTCTGTTACCCGACTCAGTGATCTCAGTTTCTTTACTCTTATATGTTTGTAAACTGTGCATTTTTCGCTTTAAAAATGATTGAATTATGTTGTTCTTATCGTCCGGTTAAGGTTTTTATGCCTTTAGTAAATCTGCGTGCAATATTTTAGAACTAAAGACAATTTAAAAGTTTTTTAAGTGGCGCTAAGCCTAATTATTTTTGCCATTCAGCCATATTTGTTTACATTTGAAACAGCAGAATAGAAGATTTGTTGCCAATCTAGAGAAAGTAAGCTTCTCAAGAACAAAGGTAACGGCTTCTTTTATTATTGCGAATTGGATCATGCTTAATACATTCTAGAATTTGTTAGAGGAAATAAGTGTTTAAGAATTATTTCATAATTTTCAATTACATATATTTTGAATATATGTATTTTTGTCTTGTCGCGAAGTGAGAACTGAATTAATTGAATGAGAAATACTGAATCGTCTGTGAAAACTGTTGCTTTTTTGTTTTGTTTGCTTAATTTCTTTTATACATCGTTCTAGATTTATTATAGTATTTGAATAGAACATGTAGCAACGATTAGCTAGTTCTTCAAACAATATAAATTTTGTGCATTCTGAGTTATAATATGAACGAAATATAACGCTGTTAAGTGAACGTAGCGCCAGAGTGTCGCTATGGTAAACAAATATAGCGAATTTTAAAGAGTGCATTTGTTCTATTGTGGTTATGCGATATCGACGAAGTAGATTTAATTAAATCCAATAAGTTTAAATGAAATGCATGAAAATATGCGTATAATTTAATATTCCGTACATGGAAGTCATGTGGTGTACACATCAGATTTTTTAAGTAAAAGACAGGCAATGGTGGGACGCTTTTAGGAACAAAGGAGACAGATCTGGTTGTTTGCTTAATGTATCAGAGCCTTCATTGCCCTAATTCTCATATAATCTATGCCCAGCATTTGAATGGCAGTTGTGCTTAGGGAAAAGGTAGTAAAAGTCACTGATTATTTTGAAAATTATTTCTAGGGTTTCGAAAATATGATTTTATGGAAACTTTTATAATGCCACCAAGTTCACGATAATATATCAGTATATGAATGCTAACAGCAAACTTTGGCGTCAAGTCTAGGTAAAGTTTATTAGATGATTTCGCTGGGTCTGCTTAGAAAAGCTTTACAATTCTAACATAAATCGATTGAAAAGTAAATGTTGTTCAAAATATCATGTGAACTAAAACTACGCAAAAATTACAAATGAGCACAAACTTAAACATTTTATAAAATGGTAAAAAGCGCATAACCAAAAGCATTGCTTTAAGTAAATAAATAACCAATTAAAATAAATGAATATTCATAAAAAGTACAGAAAAATTTAAAATGTAAGCAAATAGAAATATTTGCATTAATTACAACATTTTATATACATACTGATATAATGTTCGAAGAATCGAACCACTAGCATTTATTTTTCATTACAAAGTTTAGAATTGGAGAACATAATATACCAATAAAAGCATGAGTGCCTTAAAATAGGTTTTTCTCTTGACTGAGATTTCTATTTATCGCTTTCAGACATCTGTGGTCTAGAGAATTGCACTATGTTCAACGATATACGTTGGTACATTGATTAACGTTATATTCCTGGTAGCTACGACCGCACATTTAGCCCATGAGTCGTTGAGGAAGTTATCATTTTCCTGTATGAGCAAAACCACAAAGACATATTTGGAGTGGCCATGTTACTCAGACTGATTTTCTTTCATTTGATCATCAGCAGGAAAAGATGAAAATTTTGCATTCCAAGCAGTCTAAGTACAGTTAACGTAATCCATCTGTCAATCAGCAAATGTGTATCGGAATTTTAACTAAAATGCAAGTATAAAATAGCCTTTAAAAGTATATGCTGAAGTAAGACCATCCAAGAAATCTAAAAATATGTAATATGGTTTAAAATCCATAAAACATCGTCATTTCGATTTCGAGCCATACTTTAATTACAGATGGTGGTGATTCAGAAAAAAAAAAACTTTCTTTTTTTGCAAAATACTTCTTTCTTAAAGAAATATTAATAAAGAATATTTTCTTTATGATTCATATATACCATGTTACTTTAATTTAAATTCATTATCCGAAATCCCGAAATCTTCAAAGTCCCAACGATTTCGGTCTCGGACCTCGGAGTTTGTACTGTAAACGTATATTTGTGAACTAGAGTCTCTTGCCGCTTTTTTATAATTATGAACTGGTGGTCTTAGGACAATGTTTTAAGCGAAGTACTCCTTTTGAGGAATCAATTGAGGTACTCAAGCAAATTCTAATTGCTGCAGTAGTGAAAATAATTCGTTATTTTGTCTCAAAATCTATCTAATAAACAAATTTATGCACAGTGACAATGAATTCTGTCTTAAGAATGATATAAATTGTTATTGCATCAAAATATATCTTTATAAATTCTGAGGTTGATTTATTTTTTATCTTAAACCAAATTTAATGGCTAACAATTTAAGTAATAAATTAAAATAGAAGGTAAGGAGGTGTAGTACTTATGGAAATATGCACGAATAATACTGCAAAATGCATGGGTACCTATAGGTTACTGTTTCCCCAATTCCGCTTGAAAGCGAATAAAGGATCTCCGTCCCCTCTTCCGTATGGACCAAATAAAATTAGATGATTTTCAGTTATTATGTATCTCAATTAACATTTGAGAGTAATATTAGAATAACACTTTTTTTCTGAATTTCAGGCTGTGGATTTAATTAGATATTATATTGTTGTTATATCCGATAATCGGGTGTCCGATAATCCAGATGCCGATAATCGGGTGGAGACGTACATTATTCAAGATTTGATGGCTCTAGGTACCGTTGTTATAATATCTATTTGTAGATGATATAATATCTATTTCGGGGTATTAATATATTATTGGAGAGCTTAACTACTCCTTTAGCAGAAATATTACACATTTTTAACTACAGCGGTTAAGCAATAAAGAAATATTATACAGAACAAGAAGGAAGAATATGGCAGCTTTTCGAATTCTGGAATCTTGTGATTACACTGGATTATATACTGCGTAACAGGATGTAGACATTCGTTAGGAACTTTTAAGAGAAGATAGTCAGTATTCTCATTATGCATCTGCAAAACTATTAGAAATGATTTAATTAGTTTAGAAGCCATTGCGAGTAGCTTTGAAGTGAAAAATGATCAGTTCTTGAATTTTTGCATTGCTAAACAAGAGAGACTATTTTTAAGTTAACAGATTTTGGGACTGCTTACTATACTGCTTACTATGTAGACTTCAAAATTAGTTCTGTGGATATAAGAATATTTTATTTTCAATAGCTTTACTGTCATTCTCGTTTTCCGTTTTCCAGCCAGAATGCAAATTTTAGGTCCTGCATATTCAACTGAAGTAGAAAGAGATAGTATTTAAAGGAAGGTTTCAGATTGTAGAATTAGAGCGTGTTCCGCCTCTGAAAGCCACGTTACTATTTGAATCTCTTCAACAGCTGTCGGCCTGCGGCATTGTGTTGTTCTTTCCGTTACAGCTTGTCACGCTGGCTTAAGTTGAGCCAACTTGAGCAATCAGTTGCCATTGACTAACTTACGCCTTAACTTAGTTATACCGAACTCATTACGTTTTGAGTTACACCATAAACTCTGGCAGATTTTGTAAGCTCAAGAAGTGCTTTCTGTTAAATTACTAGGATCGTTTACACGCTTCTTACGTTCTCTGTTTTCTTACTGGACATGATGATAATACGCTTAGGTTCAGCTCGAAATCTCGTTTTAGTTTATGCTTCCAAAGAGGATGAGACTCTACATATGTTAAGATTCTCACAGTGAATGCCTAGGTTCTAGCAATGATATTGGAAATTTTGCTCAGTTTGGCTTTAATAGGGAGAATTAATTCATTATAGGAAATATTTTTTACGGTTTTACGGTGTCATGTAAAAAAGTAAAAACTTTTCATTTTTTTTCTCTTTTATAGCAGATTTACTGAGGACAGAGATTTCTTATCACTTTCACATTTGAAATATGCCATATGGTTCCCTTCTCTAGGGTTTTTGATTTTGCAGGGCATTCCAAATGAAGATTAACACTTCAAAATGCTTAAACTTCAAAACGTTATCTGGTAGATTGAGAGAAATATTACAGATTTTCAGCAGTTATTCATGCATATAAAAGGAAGGCGATGTATAACTTCATATTCAGAAGATACTTTTGAAATCCTCACATTGAAGTTTTATTAAGTAACCATGTAAGTAAATATATTTTAGAAATATTTAGGTGATTTTTTATCGATCACCGATTTTAGTATACGATTCTTGTCGTGTTTTATTAGCAATAACTAAAGTTTGAGCTCTTAAAAATATTTATGTTATTTTTCCAGTTATTATAAAACCCTTCGTCATTAAAATACATTTCAGAAAAGCGTATCCCTCTCATAGGCGTATCATAACATTTCAGAGATTTAATGACATATGTTATAATTTATGCACCGCTAAAAGTATTTTTAAAAATGCAAATAATTTTATTTCTTTTATTATAACTGAAGCCAGTTTGTAAGTCTTCTAATAAGTACTAAGTTTATAAGTCCAGTAAATCATGTTTGGAGGCATTTTTAAACGATGCTCATAGAAGCGTTCGTTTAGCCTTTATTTTCGTAACATTTAGTCGTAGACATGCACTTCCAACTGCAAAAATATTTCAAATGACGCGCCTATTATTATTGTGGCCTATTCAATAGCAAAATTGAATTTTGAAAAACTTCGAATTCTAACTTTTCATATGGTGCCTCATGCTTTGTAGTTATACAGAGTAAAATTTAAAATCTTCATTATAAAGTTATGAAACACAAAAAGTTTGACTCGGCAAAAATTGACCAGAAGATCAATTTAAAATTATAGGATTTTTTCCAGCGTTATGCGTTTCCTTGAGGGGGTGGTTAAAAGAGAAATTAAAATAATTCGAGGTTATTCTTTTTCTTGAATGTATTAAACGATATTCTTTTATGATTTACTAGTGTATAATATTCTTTAATTTTTAATTTAGTAATATTTGGTTTGCTGAAAGCGTTCAGCAGAATTAGTTTATTAATTTTAATCCTTAAAAGCTTCATAATATTTTTTTGTGTTATTTTAACTTTAGGATCATAACTTAATAGCCACACAAAAAATAATTCAATTGATTAAAAATTTCTTCCTGTTTAAATTTATGCAAATAATGCTCTTTTTATTTTGTGCCAGTACGAAGCCTATCATTGTATTCCAGAAGAGAGATTCTTTAAGATTCGTGAGTAATATATACCTTTCCCCCCCCAACATTATGCTGATAGATTATTCACGATAGCCTACATAGAATCAAAGCTCATAAATGAATATACTAAATTTCGAAACTTTTTTCATAAATTCGGCATATTAATAATCGAATATTTCGACCTCAGTCCGGATTCACTATAGCCCTATTTCAAATGTTTCAAAACAAAATAAATTTTAATCAAGAAAAAAAAATTAAAAAGCTATGTATAAATCTAATACATATCCTGAGTTGCGCTTTGAGACGTTAATTTGCCTATCGGCTCAGTAGAACGGAAGATATAAAATTGCCACATTTATTTTGTGTGTTTTCAGAGTTTACCTCTTTCACACACACACACACACAAAACTGAAGGCTTTCAGATTTTATATTACACCAAATGGGCGCCCAAATTATTATTTTGTGTGTTACCTTTAATTTTTAATATCATGTTCTTGTTCTTCGCACTTTTAAACCATAAAATTCAATTCAACCGCAATATCACAAAATATTAAAAGAGCATATCTTTAGAATCTCGCAAGCTGGAGATGAAAATGCAGGCTCGTTTTCCGTACGGTAGTGTGCCATTGATCGTTTTGAAATCGTTGAGTTTCTTAATCAAAAACTCCTAAATGCTTTACAAAATATCAAATAAGATCTAAAACAAATTTGAAACTCCAAATTTGGGCTTCCAGATACCCATAATCAGGTGGAGACGTACGTTATTCAAAATTTGATGGCTCTAGGTACCGTTCTTTTATCACAATGCAGAATCATACACATGCATATGCAGATCCTGCATTATTTAATTTCTCTCTAAATAAAATACAAGTCTCTAATACTAAGTGGCAACAATTTAAAAAGGGATTCGCCGTTTATAGTGATTTAAGTGCCATTACGAAATTAATAGTCCTTCTGAGCAATTACCTCTTTGGACTAATACTTTAGAAAATTATTTTTAATGTAAGAGTTATCGTTTTCCTCTTTTATTACAGTCACCTCTTTTCTATTTATTTTAATACAGCTTCACAATTATTCAATATGATAAATTTTCTTTTTTTTTTGGTGGAGTCGTCTGCTGTATATGTATGCTATGAAAATTTAGTTCCTTGCAGATACTTTGATATTAGGTGAGTGCTTGGCCAGGGGAAATTCAATGATTTTGCTGGTCGCGAGAAGATTGAAGTTAAAAATCACGGAAATATCGATTACGCAGTAGAAGATTGCGGGGAATAAGTTTCCATCATATTTTATATATCTTACCTATAGTTTATTTTACTTCAATCCTGCAGCTATAGCGGTCCTGGGTTTAAAAAATTTGTTTTCAATTTTTGTCTCTTATTAAGTTTTTTATTAAGTTTTCACATTGTTGAATATTTTGTTTGAGGAATCTCCTTCCTTTTTAATAGTTCTATGTCATAGATGCTTGAATTTGGGGATATTTCCAGATGTATGCAAAATTGGAAAATTAATCTTGATGCCAAAGGATAAAGGAGGATTTCGTTCAATTTGCCCACTGAAAACATTTGCAAAAATTTATGATAAACTTTTACTTAACTGACTGCAATGTATTTTAAATAAGAATAATATTATTTTTGAATAGCAATTTGGTTTTAGAAAGGGAAAGTCAACCGAATTGGCTCTTTATAGTGTCATATCTGGCATTAGAGAGAAAAGAAAGAGTAGGCATGTGGCTCTGGTTTCATTTGACGCCAGGGGTGCCTTCGATAGTGCAAGGTGATAATGCTCCCTGATGCGAAAATTGAAGAATATTGGAATTGCTAAGAATATGTCTGAAATTATAAAAAGTTAGTTTAAAAGGCGAAAGATGGTTTTTAAGGGTCCATCTGATAATCTGAACCTTTACAAAGGTACTTACTTACAACTTTTCCGACATTTACAAAGGATGTCGACAAGGCTCTTGCAGCGATATTCTGTTCTGGGCACTCATTTTTAATGATTTGCTGCAGAAAGTCAATATTTCGAATTGTGAGATTATCTGTTATGCCGACGATATATTGGTTATCGTGGATGAAGACTCTCTTGAAAAAAATGGAAAAAGTATTTAAAAAAATATAAGATGATTCGAAACAATGGAGTGACAGAGAGAAAATATATTTTAATAATGAAAAACGTGTGGACATTTTTTTTTCTTCGGGGTGGGAGAAAGTCTATATATCCACAGTTGAAATTTAAGGGTAATTGTATCAAATTTGGTAAAAATATGAAATATCTAGGAATTATTATTGATAGCAAATTAAATTTTCCGAAACACTTTAAACACATACATAGAATCACAGATAACGTTAAAAATTTTTATAAGAATAATTTTAGTGCTGATACTTTGAATAGAAAGAGAGATATTTAGAAATGTGATCATCTCCAAAATATTATACGGAGTAGGAGTTTGGGGCTACCGGGCAGAGGAGGTACTCAGGATTAGAATCAAATTGAACATCCTGCAGAGAGGCTGGATGCTTGCCATTACAAGAGCTTTCAGAACCGTTTCGACTGAAGTTGCCTGCGTCCTTGCGGGAGTACCGCCTCTCTCGATTTTATACAAATTATACTACAAAGTGTTTCTACTAGCTAATAAATTTATTATAGATATTGAAACTGGACAAAACGTACTCACGAGTAAGACATTTCAACAAAAGAATGAGGCTGTTATTCACCCAATGTCACGATTTGGATTATTTTATGATCTTGATTTTCCTCCTGGTGGCGAAATTGACGCTTTTACAGATAGTTCTGGAATGGATGGGGGAGTGCGTAGCGCTGCGCTAATTTATTTTCACAGAGTGGAGGCAGTCAATGTAAGAATAAAACTTAAACCAATGAATTCGGTTTATCAAACAGAACTATACGCCTTGACAGAGGCTTTGAATTGGATTAATAAAAACTTAACAATTCCATGTTTTATGAGTATTTATACTGATGCACAATCTGCGCTACAGCCACTCGCCAACCAGATCATAAAAATCGACTGCCTAATAAAATAAAAGACTTGTTTAAAAAGGCTGAAAGGAAACATATTGTTAAATTACATTGGGGGAAAGCACACAATGGAATTGTCTGAAATGAAACTTCGAACGCCCTTGCTAAAATGGCGGCACTTAGTGATGAGACCGATAATTTTGATATCCCAGATTAAAAAAAATAAGACCTTTGCCGAAATGGAAAACTGGATTTATACAGAATGGAATTTTTGCTGGGAGTCGTCTAATAAGAAAAAATCTGATGTGTACACCACGTGACTTCCTTGTACCGAACATTTAATTATAAGCATGAGAGTTTCAGTAAAAGGAGATTAATTTTTATGTTTTTATCATTTTGTATATTTTTCCTTTTCGCATTTTTTTTCCGAGTTTGTTGTACCTATGAATTCTTTTGATATGTTCAGATACTGTGTTAAATCTCTTTTCCACGATATTATTGAGGAATTGCCTTGCTTTGATTCGAATTTAATTTTAACTTTAGATGCTTTAAGTTTATATATATATATATATATATATATATATATACACTTTTCCTCCTATCCTACATTCTTCAGTTTTGACAGTTAATGCTAGAAAAGAAAATGCGCTTTAATAGCACCGTGCATTTTTGGAGGAGCTGCAAAATTTACAGAAATTTACAAACAATGTAGGTAAAAAGAAATGGCGTCAAGTAAAGGGCAGTAAGGAAACATATCATATTATACTATGCAAATACTCTCATTAGTTTTGAAGTCATTAAAAACATAATAAACAGTGGATAGAAACACGGTTCCAGTCATTTAGATTTTATGAACATAACTGATTGCATCACATGAGATCACTAGATAATAAAACATTTATCAACACTTGTGAATAATGAAATTATGAAGAACAAGAAGGCAACTAAGACAAAAAGGACTGTTGAAGTGCCTGCTCAAAAGTCAACGGCTGAACAACCATCAAAAGTTATTGGAATGGTTAAATTTTGTCAAAGCGTATGTTAAACATATTAAACATAGTGTTAAAATTTGACCGAATGATAGACAACGCAGTTCACTGCTAAAAAGAAATGCATAAAGGAAAAAAGAGATCTTGTGCAGTGAGATATTTTTATTGCAGTCTTCAGAGAATAAAAGATGAATTATGGAAAACGGGCTTTTTTAAAACATTACAAATAAAGGCGTTTGAATTTATTGAAGAATAGAGAGACTTGTTTTGGAACCAATAATAACTTTTGTGCATATTTAGTTTCCCGATTTGTACGGTTTCAAATATTTCGGAGTATTAGCTTAATCCGTTACCCGGACCATTACCTAGGAAATATTTCTATATTTATTTTTAATTCCGAACAAATTTAAGAATTTCTTCTTTCCATTTGTCTAAGACCAATGGATAAGATATATCTAACTTTAAAATTATATAAGTTGCTTAATTTCTATAGTAAAAAGTCAAGTGTTTTGTATTTAAGTTTTTAGAATGTGCAAAATCTTTTACTAACTATTACAATAGAAACCGTATAGGAATTAAGTTCCGTAATTTTTATAAAACTAGTTTTCAAGTTCTTGATATCACATTTTTACTTCCTTGTACGAAGTAAAGGAAGTATTGTAATCACAAAAATTTTTAGTATCATATTTTAACGAAAATATCCATTTTGACCACTAAGAATACAAATTAACGATGTTTTTGCTTGACATCTGTACATAAGGACAGAATAAAGGACTTTTTGTAGAATCGAATTCTAAAACGGTTAAAATTGAATAAGAAGAGACTTTTTCGGGGCGTCTGTACGTACGCACGTATGTATGTATCTCACATAACTCATAAACGATTAGCCTCAGAACGTTGAAATTTTGTAGATAGGACTGCTATAACATGTAGTTGTGCACCTTCTACTTTAGTTGCAATCGGCCGCACAAAGAGTATATATATATATGTACTCTGTTATTCCCTTCAGTGAGCTCAGCTTTTTCTATCCTTATATGTTGGTAAATTATGCATTTTGCAGGGTTACTCCCTTTTATCTGAAATCTAAGCATGGAGGAATTTAGTGAACTATTATTACTCATAATAAAGGTGGGAAAACGGTCTCTTTCTCAGGCCTTCCCTTGCCACTTGTACAACAAAGCATCCACTTGGGATTAAACTCAATGTGAGAAATGAGAACTTAAGCTAAAGAGATTTAGCCCAAGCTAACACAGTTTCTAACTAGTTGGGCTCTAATATCAAGAGCAGGTAATACGGCCGAGCGTAGTAAGAGCTTAGACAGACGTAGCCAAAAGAAAAACCCGCGGTAGTCAGAAACTCTGAGGCTCTCTCTCGAAGTCAGTGGAACTTCGACTTAAATACTACCTACTACTCATTTGTATTTAACGCTACTCTAAAAACTCATTCTGGTAAGGAATTGAAGGCTGAAATTAGAAGAGATAGTAAAGTGTAAAAAACTTAAAATAACTGTTTTAAACTTATAATAAACCTAACATCTTTTTGCGTTAAAAATTAATTCTTTAAATTGTTAAAAATTAATTATATTATTCTTATATTCTCGTTAAGGTTTTTATGCTTTTAGTTAATCTGCATGCAGTAACTGTAGAATTAAAAATAATTAAACGTTGTTTAAGCACACTAAACATAATCTTTTTACCACAACAGCCATATTTGTTTACATTTGAAACTTAGCACAACAAAGAATTAAGTCTTTCTGCAAATTTAGTGACTTTTTGTCGATTGGGATCCAAAGGAAACTTTTAGTTTTGTGCACCAAAAATATGCCTTCTTGGCTGCTGGCCGCATTGCATGTTTTTGCATAGAAGCTGGAATTTTGATTGCAAAAATTGTCTCTTTAATTGTTTTAACTGTATTTAGTGTTTTATGCTTTTATATCTTTCAATTTTTAATGAAAATAGTTTGAGTTTTTATGTATTTTTGCCTTGCTGCGAAGTGAGAACTGAATTAATTTGAGAAATATGTCTCTAATGAAATTCGAGGAAATAAGTTTAAATGAAATGCAGGGAAAAATGCTTATAATTTAATATTCCGTACAAGGAAGTCATGTGGTGTACACATCAGATTTTTATTAAATCCAATAACATTAGTATTTTTCTTATTTAAAACATTTTTATAACTGGAAGTATAAGTGTATGGCTAACGTTTGAGAAAGTATAGGCTTCATAAGGACTTTTATGGAAACGCTGATCATGTGTCAAAAATAAGCCAAAATGTTTCGAGGTAGGTAAGAATGACGGAAGTTTTGAGCATACACCTTTTGCAGGCAGCATGGTTGTAACTGTCTGTCCTTTCATATGAGGTAACAGTGTCCGACTCTTATGTGCCTTCCCAATAAAATGGCCACCATTTCCGGCCTTACGAGTGGCCTATGGGGGAAAAAGACAAAATACTGCCCGCTATTCCAAAAAAAAAAAAAAAAATGTTTGCAGGCAAATAAAATAGTTTACATATGAAATGAATAAGAAAAAAATATCCCTTGTGAGCTGCTAAATCATTTCTAATATTATTATAATAAAATTTGCAGTATCAGGACAATTTATACTTTTTTCGAATTCGTATTTTAGGATTTTTCGATAACCATATGTAACGAATGTCATTAGTATCGTATAAACTGAATTCAAAATTTTGTATTTTTTTCATACCTTCTTGTTTTAAATGTATTTTTGCTTTTTACTACTTAATAGATGATTTTTCGCAATTCTGAAGGAAAATCTGATCTTCAGGTGTCCTTCCAAAAGTTCTAATATATTCTAATTTCTTATTTATGAACTTCATTCTTTACTTTCTAATAATAAGGTTTTATTCTTGCTTAAAGTGTCATTTCAAAATTGCCAGTATTTGATTAATGTTATTTTAACGGCTAACGGTTGAGAAAATATTAGGCTGCATAAGGGCTTTTATGCACACGCTGATCATGTGTCAATTATATGCCAAAATGCTTACAGGCAGATACTAAAATGACTGAAGTTTCGAGCATATATTTTTTTGCAGGCAGAGAAAGTATTTTACATGTCGAGTAAATGTAAAATATGTTCCTTGTGAACTGCTAAATCATTTCTAATATAATATATAAATCTTTCAGTGTCAGACAAATTATACATTTTCGTATTTTAGGATTTTTTCGATAACCATGTATAAGGACCGTCATGTATTATTATCCTGTAAGTTAAACTCAGAATTTCCGTATGTTTTTCATACGCTCTTGTTCTAAGTGTTTTTGCTTTATACTAATTTAATGGAGGATTTTACAAAAATGTAATTTTCATTTTTCCTTCCAAAAATTGCAATTTTTTGTTTATGAACATCGTTTCTTAATCTCTAATATTAAGGTTTAATTCTGGCGAAGCATTTCATTTCAAAATTCCCAGTGTTTGATTAATCTTATTTTAAATATAATAAGATTGAAAATAATACGGATATTTTTAAATTATAGCATAATTATTTAATCTTTTGTCTTTAATATAATTTCATTACTGTATTTGAGACAATGAATTTCTCGTGATTTACTACTTAGGAAGTTTGTGATTTTCATCTCATTTCTTCTATGCGCTACCCTGGTGTCAGCTCAAACCGATCCTAACAGAGAAATATGCTTAGGAAGTAAGACATTCTACTTATCCTATTCGTGTGAAATATTTTCATGGTAATTTATACTTTTCATGTTAAATGTTATTAAGAAGAGCTTTAAGTTTACTGAAGTTTGTTCTCATAAGATAAGTTGGATTTCATCAATATCGTCGTCTAATAATTTAACCGATACCAGTTCAGTTAAAATGATTATTTAAAAATTTTATTTGCTCAATAATATACGGCTTGCCAGGATCGCAGTGGTAAAGTCAGAAAACGCTGTCGAGTTCTACTTGGGTTCAAATTCAGCAAACGGACTGGCTGCATAGGAGTTTTGGTAGTTTTTTCCATGCGTAATGTGGATTCAAGCCAGTTTTCATAACATCGTGATCGAAGGCATCTCTCTTCATAGACAAATAACTCTCTCCAGCTTTGCCACAATTAACTAAACCAAACAAGTAAAAGGTATTTTAAAATCTTACAATTACTGATCCAAATTTAAAGAAAATGAAAAGTACGAGTATATTACATACATATATATATATAGGCAAATATAAAACCAAACATATTAAAATATAAATATACAGACAATAAATTGAAATGCAACTTATCTTACCTATTCGAAATAAGTTGCCCTCGGGTAATAACCTTATTACCAATGATTCAATGAGTTTTAAAACATTGGATTTTTTAAGTATTGTAAAGGAAACAAAAGTATGTACTTCATGAAATGAAGTAAAAAGCTTTGGTACTTTGTTATAGCAGCCCCAGAGACTGAATCGCCAATCTACCGAGCTATATCTCACCAAAATATGCTGCATTTATTTTCTCGCCGCGTAATCGTATATTAGCACCGTGCTCTCGCCGCGCGTTCTTATATTATTCAGTTTTGATGAGCTTTTTGAATTTATATTGCTTATTTAAAAATATATTAAATTTTTTTGTGACTATTATCTTAACAATCTTTTATTTACCAAGTAATGAAGTGGATGCCATATCATGTTTTCAAGGAAGAGGTCTTCTACCGGTTATAGCCGAAAACATCGCGGCAAAATCATAGCGGACGAAAACGTCGCGGAGAAAACAACGCAAGGCAAAAACAACGTACTGCAATACATCGTGGGAGAAAACATCGCAGTTCTAAAACATCGTGGTCGAAAATAAAGCCCTTCAAAAACTTCGCAGTTTAAAAACATCGTCGTCGAAAATATCGTGGTAAAAAATAAAGTATCAAAAAATCATCGCATGACAATAACATTGCAAACATGCTTTTTTCAGACTTTAAATACTATAAATAGATATTCCCAGAATGATTTGTGAGCGCAAGATGGAAAGAAGGATATTTTTTACTTTCATATTTTTTACTAACTAATCAATTTTTGCCGAGAAAATAGGAAGGAAACATAAGCATAGAAAATTAATGGAACTTATAGCACTTAATAGAATTTTAAACCGACATAACTAACTAACAAAGGCCCTTAATAAATCATTTTTTATAAACTTTTACTGGTAATTTTTCATGAAAAGTATATATAATCTATCAGTTGCATTTAATTTTTTCTGCTTAAGTTTCCTTCTTACTTTTTCAGCAAAAATTTATTATTTAATAAAAAATGTGAAAGTAAAAATTGCTCTTCTTTACATCTTCCGCTCACAAATCATTATGGGAATATCCATTTACAATTATTAAAACCTGAAAAATGCATGTCTGCGATGTTATCGTCATGCGATGATTTGTAGATACTTTATTTTTTACCACGAGATTTTCGACGGCGATGTTTTTAAACTGCGAAGTTTTTGAGCCGCTTTATTTTCGACGACGATGTTCTGTACCGCGATGTTGTTCTGTTTCTACTTCCTCTTAGGGAGGAAACTGATGCAGAAACAGATAGTGGTGAAACCGTAACTAGCTAAATATCAAACTGAGATCTAAACTCTTAAGAGTTAGCTAATTTCCACACTTTTAGTGATCGTACTAGTGAAAACATAGGCATTGCGTTGTGTAAATGCATCCGGGACCGTGCCGTGAGAGGATCGTATAAACAAGATGTAAAATTAATATACATATAAGATAACACATAAAAGATATAAAGAAAACATAAGAAATAGGTTTCGAGATTAAAATACAAGTTTATTCAAATACCTCAACAATTAAAATTAAATTTCACATCCTAGGTAATCGATACTCAGTTTTCTTATTTTAGTTACACATGTGAATTCTTCAATTTATATCATTTATTACACATTTAAATCAATGATTTGCAAATCTAGTATATGACTCATTTAATTTAATTTGAACTACTGCTGTAATTTCTAGGATGTTAAAAGAAACACATTATCTGAAATTCAACATCTATTCTAAGTATGATTTCACAAAACAAACTATATTTTTATACCATAATTACTCTTTGTCATTTATGTCTCAGAAAAAGAAAGAAGGGGAAGTGGAGACAATTTCAAGCCATTTAGAATTAATTTAAAAATTCAATCTTAGTTTTAAAATTCCAAGGAAATTTCTGCAACTTTACTTAAAATTCATAGGAATACTTCAAACACAGAAAAAAAAAGGACTTAGGTAGACATCTTGAAGTAGAGAACTCGTATCTTAATTCTAGGCTTTCGACGAACGGTACTGCCCCTCTGTTACAAGTCGAAGTTCAGAGCACATCGTCCTGTCCTGGCACTTTTTGGCGAAACATGCGGCCGGGTAACTGGTTTCCATAGACAAAAAATTTTCACTCTGGAAGGCAAGAGAACCGCTTGCCCCGCACGGCTGTCCGCATGGAAATCGTAGACTATGAAGCGAGGTATTTTGTTTTTTCTAATACAAGCTCGAAAGACATCGTCCATGGTTTTTCCGATAAGGGTGTAGAGTAAGTCTGGCGGCCGGTTAGCATAACTGCCGTTCCCTGCTGTAGGCACAACTGGAAGACGAACCACCCTTCCTTATTCATCACCAGAACTCCCAGTACAGTACCTCACCGTCGAAAAGTCAGTCCAAAAGTGTTTCAGATATTTCAGAATAACTCGCCCACTCTTCAATTTCGCCCTTTTGCCAAAACGCGGCCGGGGAGCATATTTGCCTCTCCCTCCGGAAACACATCTCACGACGAAATTACATCCTTTCTATCGCTCAACCCAAAAGCAAGTTCGAAGTCCAAGTCTTAGTCAAAACGTCAGTCCCAAAAGTAAGTGATTGAAACTCGAATTTTCTTCGTCTCCTTCACAAACACGGGCTCCCACAATGGCTTCATTTATTGCCCCCTTAATTTGGACAAAATTTGCGTTTCTTTCCCCAAATGACAGAACTAGGGTGATCACACATGCGCGCTCCTCTTCACTTAGCCAACAACCGGACCCCGATCGCCAAAACCAGAATGACTTACATCGAAAGTGAAAATGTAACCCTTGACCCTTCTGTCACGTACTTACTGTCCTAAAGGTCAATTGCACAAAAGAAATTTCTTATAGAACATTCTAAAGGACAAAACAACCCGCGAAGTCATGACTTAGCAAAATCGCCTCCCTTACCTGCTTCTTTTCACGATGAATCAAAGCTTGGACAAAATTGCAAATAAAAGGAAAATAAATAATATCCTTTGAAACTAAATAATATTCTTAGAAGCATCTGTTTTTCCCCGAAATTAAAGCATTAAAATAAATAATTCAGAATCAAATAAAATTAAGATTTTCTTAAATCAGAAAATAATTCACCTAGTTTTTTATAACGCGATCAGGCAATTATCTACACAACAATGTTTTAGAACTGCGATGTTTTCTCCCACGATGTTTTGTAGCACGACGTTTTCGCCTTGCGTTGTTTTCTCCGCGACGTTTTCGTCCGCAATGTTTTTGCCGCGATATTATCAGCGGACACCCTTCTGCCTGACCAACGAGTATGCGAAAATGGCCACAAATGACGAAACCATTTGGAGGTGCAATATTAAATATTGCAAAAAGAAGGGCCCCGTGTTTGAAATTGTTTCAGCGGTTCCAGAATATCAATGGTCACTGCTATTAGATTTAAATATATTGGGCAGAGGAATAGGCGTCAGGAAATGGTTTGACAAAACGTTTATTAGTGAAAGTTCTACAGTTGACTGGAACAATGCATGTGATAAAACAATAATAAGTGTTCTTAAAAATATTCTTAGGCAACGATATGTGAGCACTGTTGTTATTATTATATACTGTGTTGTTTATTTTACACTCGTGCATTATTCGTCTGTTTATATGAAGCAAATCGCAAAATATGTTTGGCCAAATATAGCCGCAGTAACAAAGAAGAAACAAAGCTTTCAAATATTTAGTCACAACACAATAAATCGATATAGTGTTGTCAGGGCGTAAAATCTACATCGATGCAAAACCCAGCGTAATACCGATAACCGTAGAAATCTCTACTGACTTGAAAAATTAAACCACATTTGAAAACTCCCTAGGAAAGTGTCGTTAGAGTCATATTATCGACACTGCGTACAATCGGCAGAAGCATATGACTGACATGATTTCAATAATGAGGAGAAGAATTACACGACATTTCAAAAATCCCTGCACAGAAAATTCACAGGCGTATGACCAACATTGTGCAGAATTAACACAAACATAGGATCGATACTATGAAGAATCAATAATGAATAAAAACGTTAAAGCATGTTTGAAAAATTCACCGTGGGGCAGTCACAGGCATATGAACGACTAAACGTAGAATCGACACAGACATAGGATCGACATCGGTATATAAACGACTTTGTCATAGTGTAAGCTTATAATTAGGAACCGCAGTTATTATTTTTAATGCATGCCCAGAATCGACATGGACATAGCATAATCAAAACCGATTTTTTGAAATTCTGGGTAGCATTACCAAAAATGACAGCCACATTTTGATTCATTGTGCCTCTTCGAGGTATCGTGTTTCTTCTAGCGCTAGACAAAACTTTTAACTGATAAAACTCATCATTTGCTTTCATTCGAATTTAAAAGTAGGCAGATTTGATATAAAAACAAAGCAGACTTAAGTAATTTTTTTTGTTTTCCAGGCATAATAGACCCTATTTCCCTTTTCTAGGGTATTGCTCTTCAAGGAGCGGATGGAGATGTTGCCCTTATTTCAATGGCATGTGTTGCGCAGGTGGACTAACATGTTGTCAATTTTAAACGTGGAGAACATTATTGACAATAATTGATTACAGAAATGAGAATTTTTTTCCAGTAATCTTAACTCTTTGTTCTGAAATTCAGTGTTTATATTAATATTTTTGTGCCTGAATCTCGTTAAACAGAAATACTATAATTGTCAGATTGTAGCATCTGTTCATTTAGATACGAATGAAATAAACATATGCAAGGATTGAAAAAAATAATAGTTTAAGGATGGACATCAATATTCCTATTAAAAAAATTTGAAAAGTTTCAGATTTTAAATTATGCCTAAAGAGGCTTTTTTTAACGTTTTGTTTGTTACATTTATTTATTAAATATCATGTTCTTTACACTTAAACAATAAAATTGAGTTCAATAGCAATGTCGCAAAACAATTTTAAAATGAGCCTATCTCTAGAATTTCCGATACACACTTCCGCTCGCTGGAGATAAAAAGGTTTCCCCCCCTTTCCCCGTAGAGTGTTGCTATTGCTCGCTTTGAAATCCTTGAGTTTGTTAATCAAAAATTCGTTAAAGTTTTACAAACTATGAAATAGATCATAAAACAAATTCCAAATTTCAGATTTGGTCTTCCACATGCCCATATTCGTAGGAGAATGACGTTATTCAAAATTCGATGGCTCTATGTACCGTTGTTTTAATCACAATGCGAGAAATAGACATGCAAATTTATGCAGATTTTTCATTATTTAATTTCTTCAAATATAATGGAAGACTCTAACATTTGGTGGCAACAGTTTGAAAACTGAAAAGGACATTTATAGTGATTCAACGCAAAATAGCAAAACGAAAACAATAGTCCTTCCGAGCAAAGCCCCTTTGGACTTAAAAAAAAATTAATGTAGTAAATGCATTAAAAAAAAGAAGTTATCACATTTATTCAAAAATGAGAATTTATTGCATGTACACATTTATTCAAAAATGAGAATTTATTGCATGTAAGATACTTTAGGATTAATTTCAGAAAAAAAAAAAAAAAAGGATTCGGTAGTTTTAAACAAGCATAATTTGGAGGATAAGAATTTTTTTCTGATTGGGATAAAAGGAAATTTAATTTATGAAGTACTATGAGGTAAAGAAAGGAAAATTATCGCCCAAACGGGATATTGGTTATTGAATGTGGCTTCCCTCCCGAAGGGCCCGGGTTCAAATACGGGATTCCCGATGGATGCTTTTAAACGTATAGTGTGTGTGGGGAATGGAGACACTGTAAATATGCAGTGAGCCGAAAGTCCTGTCGTGAAGTTGGTGGTACTAGAAAAGAGGTGGGACATTCTCGGACTGGTCTCCTTGAGGTGCTTTCTCTCAAAATTGGAAGTGGAACTGAGATTAAATCGGGCTGTCGCCTGTATGGTGCTCAACGCTCTTGCTAACGACAGATGAATGCCGCGTCGAATGTCTGCTTGGCACGTTGAACGTCGTGTGTTTGTGCTGGACTTGTGTCGTGTGTTAAACAAATAACATTGGTAAAATCAACAACAACATAACAACAAGAAAAATTACAAAAAAAATTGAAGCTATATTATTTTTTATTTATTTTCAGGCACACTATTAACCAGCAGAATGGATAAAATGCTAAATTGAAATCACTCAACTTGACCTGACTATTATTTATAGCCCCAGTTAATCATTTTATGTGTACGGTAACTTACCTGGGAGGCTTATTTAGTTTTTAATCAGTGTAAATATTTGATAAGCATGATAGTTGAACTCCTTCCTCACATTCTCAAATTGCATTCATTAAAATATCCGAATTTAGCATCTTACAAAATTTTAGATAAAATATCTACGAATAAAAGGGAGATTCCAGTAAATACAGTAATTTGTGTTTTGAAACGTGATTATATAGTAAGTACGAAAAGCCTAGAGCTGACTTCCTCTAATTTCTTTCCTCATTTTAGAGGACAACATCCAATTTTTATAGTTGAGCTCGGCCATATTTTCTTTCTGGAATTCACTGCTAATGAAATCCGAAAGCCAAACTCATACAAGTAATTTTCGCAAACTTTTCTTATATCACTGCCTTCACATCTCTCTCTCTCTCTCTGCTCATCCATATAAAAAAGGAATTGAAATCAATTCATTTTTGCAGCTGATTGAGCATGTTTTCTATTTCTGCAGAAGCGTGTAAACACCCGTTTCGGACTTCGTTTCTTTTCTTTTGGTCAACCATTCCAATTTTCATCTCAAACGCTACGCTTCAACCGCGCTCACATCATAAAAACGTTTAGTAATCTTGGCCTAAGCTCCAATGAAATGTCAAGAAACGTAAATTTTACTTATACTAATAATTATATTGTACACATTCATTTTTACTTCCTTGTACGAAGTAAAGGAAGTATTGCAATGACGAAAAATTCTGGGTATCATAAAGTATACATTTTGAGTGCTATTAAATGTAATTTAACGATGTTTTTGCGTGACATACACACGTAAGAACAGAATAAAGGACTCCTTTTCCCCAAATGGAATTATAAAATTGATTTAAAATGGATTCAGAAGAGCTTTTCTTATATATTTATATGAGTGTACGTATAGGAGTGGGTATACAGAGTGGAGAAATATATATATACAATTTTCTCTGTTACTCGGTTGCATTTGCTTTAAAATTGACTCAATTGTGCTATTCTTATGTTCTGGTTAAGGTTTTTTGCCTTTAGTTATGTTTCCAGTCTCAAGCACAATCCCGGATCCAGTATAAACATATTTATGAATCAGTTCAAGGAAATATATTGCAAAGAGATGTAAATATGTACATTATATAATTCTCTTATCTTGCCGTTATTAATGATCCCAGAAGCTTGAATCGTGGAGAGAATTGTAGAATTATCAAAAATTTAAAAGTGACTCTAGGTTTAACGAGGCTGCCATTTGTGTACTTTTGAATTTCTTAGTAGCATAATGAATTAAATCAGCCGGTGCACCAACTTCAGAGTCTTTTTGTGCAGTCTGTCAGAAAGGTAACTATCGAATTATACACTAGAAATTTTGTCTTCAGTCCGTTGGCTAACTTGCTTGTTTTCCCGTAAAAAATTTAATTTTAATTGTACTTTTTTAATATTGTTTTCAACTGTATTTGGTGTTTTAGGTTTATCAATTTTAGCATTTTAATGAAGATGTTTTGAGTTTATTGAAGACGCCGCGAAGTGAAAACTGAACTAATAGAATGAGAAATACAGGGTGAATCTAAATTGTTTTTACAAATTAAGAGAAGTGATAGTACTCATCCAGATGATCAATAATCACCATAGAACACAGGGTCGCATTCGACTCTGAGAGGCAGAAAAGAGGAATATTAGAATTCCAACCTAAACTTTTAAGGACATTAGGTTAATTGGAAAAGCCAGAGGGATGAAAAATTAGCAATCGCCTTCACCGGGAACCGAACTACGGACCTCTGGAATACCGGCCCAGCGTGCAAAACCACTACACCACGAAAGCACGCTAGGAAGACGGGAGAAATACCTTATAAATTTACTAAGTGTTGGGAGAGCGAATGAGCGACACAAAAAGTTGCGCAATCAGTTTAATGAAAAACTCACAGAGAGTGCTCAAAACGGATAAAATCGAAAACTTGGCGTTCGATTGTTAATTCCAGCTCAGACTTTAATGGCAAACACTCAAATGCACATCTTTGGTTCACAAGGTCCCAACCTCGCAAAGGATTGCAACAAGTTAATTTTCTAATCAAGGGCTTAATATTATCAATTTAACTCCAACTTCTGCTGCATGCCGAGATTAGCATGAAAGGTTCATGCTGTGTTGCGGCTGTCAGAACTTCGAGTCGCATAGAAGGGCGCTTCAAGTAGAATGAGGGCAGCACAGTAATTCCAGGAGAAGAGGATAGAAGATGGCGAAAGGGAAGAAAATACTCGGTATACAGCGGAAAATGTAGTTAGTTCATAATGTTCAGTCGTAATATAATAATCTTGTAAGTTCAGGTTGAAATTCTAATATTCCTTTTTTCTGCCTCTCAGAATGGAATGCGACCCTATGTTCCATGGTAATTATTGCTCATTTGGATAAGTACTATCACATTTGGAAAAAAACAATTTAGAATCACCCTGTATATCTCTAATAAAATACGAAGAAGTAAGTTTAAATGAAGTGCAGCAAAAAATGTGTAATTCACTTTTTAAAGAAAAAAATGCAACCTGGTAACAGAGTGAGTGCATATGTGTGTATCTATATATATATCCCCTATCTGTATACCCACTCATATACATACACTCATTGGCCGGCTTGTGCCTGCTAGGAGGATCGGAGCTGTGCTCTTATAATAATAACAATAATACATACACTCATACAAACGTTTGTACGTTTGGCGCAGCCGACTTCAAAGGAAAAGGGAGATGCACAACTACATGTTATAGCAGTCTCAAAAACAAATTTTCAACGTTTTACGGCTACTTGCTTTTCAGTTATGCGAGATACATACATTCGTACGAACGTACGTACAGACGTTAGGAAAAAATGCTTTTTTAACTCATTTTAAATCTATTTTACAATTCAGAGTGAAAAACAATATTCCCTTATTCTGTCCGAACGTAGAGATGTCGCACAATAAAGCCTTCTAAATGGATTTTAGAGTAGCCAAAATGGACATTTTCATTGAAATACGAATCTTTTCCCGATTACAATACTTCCTTTACTTCGTACACAGAAGTAAAAAATCTGTACGATGTACAGATGTACACCCATGACTTTCTTGTACGGAATATTCAATTGGAATATTCATTTAAACTTATTGAATTGAATTAAATCTGCTTCGTCGATAGTGCATAAACCACAATACAATAAATGCACTCTTTAAAATTCACTATATTTGTTTACCATAACGACACTCTGGCCTTATAGGTCACCCAACAGCGTTACATATCGTTCATTTTATAACTCAGAATGCACAAAAATTATATCATCCGAAGAATAATCTCATTGTTGCTACATGTTGCAGTTGCTCTGGGAACGTAAGATAAGTCCTGGACCCCTTACTAGA